TTTCTATGCTGAAGCAGCTGACTTAGCTAAGTGAAACTAGCTTCGCACTGTTCGCCGGTATAAGCCATTGAGATTGTTGTACGACTAAAATGATAATGAAAAATGCAGAATTAGTCTCGAGTTGAAAAAGAGATATATACACAGATATTATTTTTCTCTTAATTTTATTACAAAAAGTAAAATAAGATTATTAAGGTATCCTTCAGATATTTCAAATTTAATCCAGAACACACAGGAAAAAAACAGGCGAGACTTAGAAAAGCCAGACGATACTCAGAAAAAACCAGGCGAGACTAAGAAAGAGCCGGGCGAGACCAAGAAAATTACTTACTTAAATACGAATACAATCCAATTTCTTTGGTGCTAAGACTATAAACACTATACAAAATGACTAAAGAACCTCTCCGTTAGCTCACACGAAGAGAAATGAAGCACTAATGAATCTGATCATTATGATATAATCAAGCCATGTGATTGGTTGAGATCTGTGCAAACGATGGCATAGAATTGGTCAGAAAGAAATATAGTTATAAAACCAAGACAAAAAAGTTATTTGCCTCATTACGTGTTTGACTTTTGAACTGAGAGGATGGATTAAATACAGTGTCCAGAGTGTCATCAAGATTTTTCGAGAAGAGACAATATGTTACGACAAATGCATGAAAGAACCTGTCAAGCGTATCCTCCTCCTCCTCAGGGATCGCATTTGGGGGCACAGGGATGGCCCCCTCCTCCTCCTCAGGGATCGCATTTGGGTGCACAGGTAGCGCCTCCTCCTCCTCAAGGAGCTCAATTAGGAACGCTTCATCCTCCTCTTCAGGGAGCGCATTTGGGAGTGCTTCCTCCTACTCCTCAGGGAGCGCCCCCTCTACCACCACCACCGATGGTTGGAGTGACACCATCGTCAGCACAAGAGGGTGACAGGAAAGACTATTTTTCAACACCCATTTACCACGATGATTTCAGGTCCTACAGGTAATTGTTGTTTTCAATATAGAGAATAAACGTTGATCCTAATCAGACTTAGAAAATAGAGAAAGTATTAAAAACCCGTGGCAAAGAGAAAAACAAACAATATTTTGTAAAATGGAAATATTTCCCGCGAAAATTTAACAGCTGGATAAATGCTAGTGATTTAAATTAACGTTTTTAACTTTATGTGTAAAATAATTACTATTGGATGAAAGCTTCGGACCTAAAGCTACATTAAATAAATATGTAAAAATATTTTTGCCGTCGGCCTAAAAACCAAGCATTCTACAGATTCATTAACCTATTTAACAGTCTTGTTGTAAATCTCAACAAATATTGTTCATAAATAAAGATTTTAAACGGAAAACCCCACGGTAACACTAAAGTTCGTATACGAATTTTAACATGAAAATGAAGATTATAAAATCAGCTTGTGTATGCGCTACGGTGACAGTGGTATAGCTGCTATCCGGGACACAACAAATATGAGATTTTCTTGTTCAAACACATTTTAACCGTTTAAAGTCACGGTGCACTAGGCCTGAGGTTCAGTAAAAAGTAATCATCTCATAAAAAAAGATTAAATTTGTATGAAAACATCCGTTACAATGCGGAAATATACCGTTAAATTAGGACTGCTACTTATAGTCATGTTTGTTGATTTAACATTGATGTACGGATGATCTGAAGGCGGAGTTTCTCATGCAAACAGATATTGTACTTTCGATTTCGCAACAATGACGTTGTCCATTTTTTATGCTTATAAAACTCATTTTGGTTGTCTGGACACCAAAATAAGATCTGGAGTCGATATAAAACCCAATTTATTAATGAAATGTCGCTATTTCTGTTTTTATGAAATTTATTAAATGTAACTTTAAATTAACATTACTTTGTGTGTTTGTGAGTTTATGTGTAAAATATTTACTATCTAAAAAATTATTACTCTATTAACTGCATTTACATGTTATAACTTGTACCATGAAAAAGAGAAAAAAAAAAACGTTTGTAAATAAATGTAAATAAGTAAACACCGGCTTGTTTTGCTTAAACCATAACAACTTGTCGTCTGCTCTGTTAAATGCTCATAAATAACATTTAACTACTGTAGCGTTGTAAAAATTGTTAAACCGTATAGTTTAAAGACGTTTTCGGTAGTTTTCTGTGCGCATCGTTATGCGCTTCCAAGAAAGATAATCACGGAAAATTACTCTTCAAATGAAGGTCAAGTTGAATAGTATTCGGAGAAGTGTTTAAATTTCGGCTATAAGCAAACAATGAGTAAATAATACAGAATAGATATTTCTAAATGTTCAAAAGGAGATCGGTTCAAAAGAATAAGAGGTCGTTTAGACAACATCACATAAAGGATTTCTCCAAGCATTAGTAAGACGGCATTGATGATAATTCTGCGCGCGTTACCCCACCCACTTGTGGTATAGTGAAGAAAGTGCGTCGCGACTTGATTACTGGCAGACAACTGGGCAACGAAGTTTAAAATGATATATTTTAAAAGTGTTGAATAAAAAACAAAATTAATATCTAAGAAATGTTCCGAATTTCATTATTTTCTTTGTAAATTTCTGAATACTTGCTTACTGTTCGCGTATGTTAGTCGAGTGAAAAAAATAGTATGGCCCTAGATCGATATGTTTTAAAAAGATATTCAATATCAATTACTTAATATAACATCAAAGAAAAAGAAATTTTTATTACAACATGTTTTTGTTGTATATTTGACAATACATTTAGTATAACACTGATATTTCTTAAGAAAGCGTGGTAATTTTGACAGTTGGCATATGCGGTAACCATGGAAACTGCCCGTTTACAAAAAACTAACACGTCAACATATATATTTTATTTCTATTTTTGAATCCACCATAAATGTTACTTGAAATATCAATAATGTAGAAAATTCTATGAAAGAAATTTCTTGATAGCTTTATTTTTTTTTACATAATTCATGTTTATTTTTCTCATTTTTTGTTTAGTTAAAAAGCATGAAAACTCATTTTTTAAAGAAATATGTTCCAATATATCGTTTGTTTTATACAGAACCCTAAGATAAAGCAAGCTTTGTATAAAATTATGTTTATTGCGAGTGTAATAAGCTATTTTATACATTATTATAACACAGTTTGGCTATTTTGACAATTTTGAGATATACGGTTACCATGGAAACTGCCATTTTCAATCCAACACGCCAACACATGTTTTTCTTTTTATTTTTGAATTTGTTATTAAATTTTACACAACATACAAAAAATTAGAAAATCCTATGAAACACTTTTTTCAATATCTCTAATTATTCTCAGAATTCATGTTTATTTTTCTCATTTTTTGTTCGGTTGAGGAACATGGGAAACTCATTTTAAAAAAAAATATGTTCAGATTATCATTTGTTTCATACAGAATCATTAGATAAGGTTATCTTTGCATAAAACAATGCTCGTTGTGTGTTTTAAGCTATCTTATACATTTTCTATTCGTTATAACACAGCTAGGCTATTTTGACAGTTTTGAGATATACGGTTACCATGGAAACTGCCATTTTACAAGAAATCCAACACGTCAACATATATTTTTCTTTTTATTTTTAAATTCGTCATTAAATTTTTCTCATCATATAAAAAATTTAGAAAATTCTATGAAAGGATTAATTTTTCATAAAACTGTAGAAAATGTCTTTAAACGGACTATCGGCGGAAAAAAGGGGTCGTCTGCTGTATACAGTCATATCTTAACCTAAATAGAAAAATAAACTTGTGCAGCAGTGCATAAATGGCGGATAAATCACGCCGCGCTTGAATGGTTCCGATTTTTTCTCAAATAATGTGGTCTATCCTTCGGCCCTTGACTACTATAGTTCATGACAAGTATTTTTGGGTCAAGAGAAAAAAAATTATGCATATATTATTTGGTAAATTTTGTGATAATTTGTCAAAAACTTGCTGTCAGTCATAATAACCTGATCACATGACTAATTGGCTGTCGATTTGGGGCATACATGTTTTACAAACACATATTGTTTACATGTGCTTCTGCTTAGATAATACATGTTTATATTTGGCATGTAGTAAATAGCATCATGTAGTGGCATCTTTAAAATTCATTTGAATATCAAGCCATTTGAATTATTTATGCTGTAAAAATGTTCTCCTACTCCAGGGTCATACTTGTTAGATAATTTACATAGACAACTGGATTTAAAGATCTCCTTGTGTGAAAATACTATGCCATGAACTTACATACTAGTATTATGTTTTAATTACCTAGTTGACTTCTACAAACTTAATGAGAACAATTCTCCTTCGATTGATCATGGTCCACACCTCAGTGTCACCTATTTGCATACAGACCAATGTTTGTTTTTTAAATTTCGAAGCAACCAGTGCTTCCATGATGGGGAAAATATAGTACAAAATATCGAAAGAGGGGAAAGCTGAAATCAAACAACATCTGAGACATACTTTTAATCAAAATTTCCATTTTAAATTTCAGTTTTCTTATTAGGAGCTAAACATTAATTTTGTAATGTAACTTGTTATACTGCAGATTAAGAACTTTTACTGTGTAATGGGAAATATGCCTTAAGTTTTGGGTATCGCAGTTTTTGGCAGGGGGAAACAGACATTTCGTTAAGGCTGTATAAGGCTGTAAAATATGCTAAAAATCGCTGTAAATTGTATATAAGAAAACATTATACTTGAATCTTATTTCCTAAAACTGTATAGCCTTCAAGGTTGGCATGTTTCATTAAACTTCAGTGTGTGATATCAAATTTTACCTTGTATAAGATGATCTTTGATGATTGTGACCTAACAAATAATTACCTCTGCATTGACAATTATAACTTGTATCAATGGATCTCAGATGACTGATCAAGAATCATCTTTGTTCTGTTCAACTTTTTTAAATAGAGCGTTTTTATCAATTGTATTAATTAAACACTTTCTTTTTTATAAATGTTTATTTCAGAATTGTGTTTCTTACATAATATAGAGATATCACTCATTTCTAATTGTAGGTCATTAGTTTACAATGGGAGAAAATAACAAATCGATATGGTGATTTAAGACTGTAAAGAGACTATGGACCTTAATCCTTAAAAAAAGAATTCCAGTGCCTTAATGTTTAAGTCTGTCTTTCATTTATTATAACTGACATTAATATAAAGTTGTGATGGATTAGATTAAATAATTCATAGGCATGGCTTCAGTGTCTTTGTCAAAAAGACTGTCTAACTCGAGATACCAAAACTGGGTAAAGGCTAGTTTAGCAGTTTTGATAACAAAAGAAGGTATTGAACCTTTTGTTAAAGATGAACTTGAACAGTTCCAGCAGAAATGTTTAACAGATATATGTAACAATCAGGGTCTTCCATCTGGAACAATTTGTACAAATTGTTGCACAGAAAACGTAGTCAAGTGTCCTACAAAAAAAATTTGTAACTATAATAATAAGTCAAGAAAGTGCAGTTATCATAAAAATTCTGCAACTAGTTTTCTTCCTGCTGGTTGTCCGAACAAGATCTGTAACAATTTCCAAACTGAAATACAGAAGGAACATAGGTTCAATGGTCCATCCTACAAAAACACTGATGCTACTCAGTGGTGCATTAATTCCTGGGAGGTTGCTAAGTGCTTCATGCCCCCAGATGGTTATAAAGATGTTGTATCTGCATCAGAAACAGATTTTAATGGAGTCAACAGTGTCATCATCAACTGCAGATGTTTTCAGACAAAAGTTACAGATGATCTTAGTAAGAATGGAAACATTTTTGACAAGGTACTTACTTTATTATATTTGTCATCTTCTGTCATTTAGATCACCTTGCACAAACTTTGTTGTACGCTGGTAAAATGCTATTGAAGATATTAAGTATCAATCATAATTAATTATTAAATTTAAAGTTAAAATATTGAAATAAGTATAAATGGTCTTAACTTTGGAATAAATAGGCAGACCCGATTTATATTTTGACAACATAATCTTACATTCCAAGAAATCAGTGAAACATTTGTGCAGATGTGAATGCACGAAAAGGGTGCATTTATCCTCTATTGTATTGTATATTTAAGTGCACACAATTTCTTAGCTTATCAGAACCAAATGTTCAGGATGAATAATAAGTTTGGGAGGAGGTTAGGGGTTCTTGAGGAATCCGGTCTTCTTAATTTCTTTAAATTAATTATAAATTTAGTATGTATCATCCTTGTGACAGTTTTACCGAAGTTCTTTTTTCATAGGTAATTAAAGCAGTATATTAGTGTCATAGACAACGGATTCAGGCTCTTATTGTGCCATCATTCCTATAAGGTCTTGGAAAATAAATTAGAAAATCAGATTCCAAAAACATTTAGAAAACTTGATCAAATTTTAAATCTAATTACCGTTGTTGTTTTACTTAGATTTTATGATTTTGGTTTGTTTAAATCTGTCTGCATCTGTCATAAAATTACAGAATGTAAGAACTAGTGAAATCACGTCTACTTTTGCTAAATGTGTGAGGTGTTTTATAGTTTGTTGTAAGGCAATGTAGTTTTTCATTTGTTCCTATCTTTTTTCATTTTGAAAGTTTCTGTAAACTCCTTTTAGAATCATACTGTATTTAAAACATTATTGGCTTTAACTGGATAATCATTCAATTCTAGATCAATAGGTGGTGATTATCACAGACAATGACTTAATTTTACTGTTTTTTTAACTGATCAGTTTTAGTTGATAACACTTAACAACACTAATTTGCTTAATTTTGTATAAGAATGATTCTATGTACATGTTAGAATATCAATAATTATTACGTTTTCTTCAATTATCTAAATATCCAGATTTTTTTTATCTAAGAACTGGTCGTTTTTGGCTTATTACATAAACAAGTTAAATAAGTTTTGGGATTCGTTTTCCTATTTTTCATATCAGAATACAAAATTTAATGGCCCGGCCGTCAATGAATTATTATATAAAGTGTTCTTTTAAGGGTAAATGGCATAGCTGTTGGTAAGAATAAACAAACGAATCTATACACTCCTTGAACTTTTGCACAATGACCGTATAGGAGCTCAGTTACATATTCAATTATTAGACTTAGGCACTGCTTAGTTTAATTGCAAGTTACCTGCACTTGAAATTCACTAAAACCGGCAAACAGATTCTTATTCAAGGGAAAATTATAAAAACATGAGATCATTTACCCTGTTTTTTTGCTTTGAGTGATTTTTTTATATTATTTTGAGTAGAGTGACAAGATTTTTTTAAAGCTGCGAGGGATATAGAGATAGTCTCCGTCCGTCTGTCCTTCCGACCGTCCATCCTTCCGTTCGTCCTTAAGTCTGACATTTTGTCCGTAACATACCTCAAAAAGAATTTGAGGTATCAACTTGAAATTTCATAGGAGGATAGATCACATTGAGGAGTGCAGTGCACATGAATGATAACTCTACCCTCAGTGCATAATTCTTCAGCTATTGCCCTTTGTTTTTTTTTTAAACTTAATTTTTGCCCAGAGCATAACTTAAAAAGCCTTTGAAATATCAACATGAAACTTCATGGGTGGATAGATCTCACTCAGGAGGTGTGCAGATTACACCAATGATAACTCTACCCTTCATATTTTTTGAGTTATTGCCCTTTGTTGTTTTTTATACTTAATGTTTCACCTGAGTGAAGCATAACTCAAAAAGTCTTTAAAATGTCAACATGAAACTTCATAGGTGGATAGATCTTATTGAGGACGAATACTGTAAGCAAGAATGATAACTCTACCCATTATAATTTTGAGTTATTGCCCTTAGGTATTTTTCATACTTTTTGTCCTAAGCTTATCTCAAAAAGTGTTAGAGGTATCAATTTGAAACTAAATAGGTGGATAGATCATATTTGCAGTGAGTGCAGTGCACAAGAATGATAACTCTACCCTGCGTGATTTTTTAGTGATTGTCCTTTGTTATTTTTCAACTTTAATTTTTGTCCAGAGCATAACTCATAAAGCCTTTGAGATATAAACATGAAATTTCATGGTAGATAGATCTCACTCAGGAGGTGTGCAGTGCACAAGAATGATAACTCTACCCTTCATATTTTTTGAGTTATTGTCCTTTGTTATTTTTCATACAATAAGTTTTACCTGAGTGGAGCATCACTCAAAAAGTCTTTGAGATGTAAACATGAAACTTCATAGGTGGAAAGATCTTATTGAGAAGGAATGCTGTGCATAAGAATTATAATTCTACCCTTTGTAATTTTTGAGTTGTTGCCCTTTGTTATATTTCATACTTTTTCCGGAGCTTATCTCAAAAAGTGATAGAGGAAACAACTTGAAACTTATAGGTGGATAGATCTAATTGATGAGGAGTGCAGCACACAAAAATGATAACATACTCTGCATTATTTTTCAGTGTTAGCCCTTTGTTATTTTCAGCCATTAGTATGCACATAGGTTTCAAACATGAAATTACTTCAGCCACCAAAAGACCTCTTTAGATTGGATTATTCTGCTCTATTTCATATACATTCTTACAATGAGCAAACACATTTTGCCGGGGATGGCCATGCTAACATGGCTCTGGTTTCTTTTATCATGTTCTAAAACCATGTTTTTTTTAAAGATCTGAGACAGTTTTGATTATGAGCTGAACATATTTCAAAATGAATAATGAAGCGGTCGTTTCTAAACAGTTTCATAATTATACATGTATAAGGTTTGGCGGCCATTTTTAACTTTGGCAGCCATGCTCATATTTTAAAAGATTATCTTACTGCTGATATGTTTTTTTTTCAAATGTGTAATAATATGAATTGGTGCTATTTAACACTGGTCTAGTAACGACCCCTGGTGAAAAAATATAATACTCAAAAATGAAAAATATAGCGGCCATCTTGGATGTTGGCGGCAATTTTGGATTAACACAACCTGCAAACCGAGGCTAAGATACGATAAAATGTATATCATTATAAATTGGTGCTATTTCAACTATTTTGTATTGACTACTGCTAAAAAATCTAAATATTCTGAAAACTTTAATATGGCGGCCAGCTTGGATTTGGATGGCCATATTCGATTCTTACAACCTGCAGCCGAGAATTGAATATTAATAAATTTGTGCTATTCCATACTGTTCTGTAATGACAAATAAATTGTAAATTACGGCTGAAAAACTATAAAATAAAATGTATTTTGAAAATGTTGGATTCAAACAACCTATATCCGAGGCTTAAAGATAAATAAATATGTTATATGATAAATTGGTGCTATTTCAAATAGTTCTAGTAATGACAACAGCTGAAAAACTATAATATTCTAAAAATTTTAACGCGGCCATCTTGGATTTTGGCGGCCATATTTGAGTCGCAAAGCTTAAATGAAAAGTATTCTATCAACAAACAACTGTGCCAAGTTTCATACTTTCACAAGAGGTGCACAATTCGCCCTATTTTATTTTATTCGCAGATTTCTTGGACTATAATGGGTATTAAATAAAATAAGTATGTCACAAAATGACCTGGACAATCAAACTCAAATTAGGGATTTTTTTATATTCCTATAGTTTTTTTCCAGGATATTGATTTTGATTGACAAATTTAATTCAAACTAGGACATAACAATACTGACACAACCTGCTGAATATCTAAATTTTGATCTTGACATTAAAATGATATAACTGTTACGTGCCATGGTCAAAATCTGTGAATCTTTCTTCTTATTGCACTGCTTTTATCATGAATATTTGGACACGAGCACAGAACTGCATGTGGGACAACACTATCAAGTCAGAGATCAAAGAAAATTGTATTGCCACTTGTCCTGCAGAACAAGTGACTGCTAAATTTTAGTCCTACTTGCGGGAGGAAAAAGTGGCTTCTAAATTTTGTCAAGCAGGACGAGTGACCGCTAGATTATTTTTTCTTGTTCAGCAAAACAAGCGACGTATAAATTTTAGGCCTTCTTGTACTGCAGAAAAAGCGGCTTCTGATTTTTCATGAATTATTGCTATAATTGGCTGTAATTTAGTGATTAATCAGTGGATGATCTTCATACTTGGACAAAACAACATTTTGGACAAGGCCTTCTCAATGGATTAACTAACCTTGTCCTTGAGCTTTAAATGACCTTCATCGTCAAGGTCAAATAATAGATTTGTTTGTTATTATTTTGTCATCATTTTGTTATTCATGTATATATTTCATTCATAAGTGGACACAACACTTCTTGTGACCAAACGAACATAACATATTGAATAATTTAGATATGATCTTGACCATATAATGACTTAATTTTGCTTATAATATATTATTTTCTTTACTTTGTCATTTATTTATGGAAAGGATTCATACTTGGACAAAACATAAAGTGTGAATAAACAAACCTATTAAAATAAACTAGAACTCCGCGAGTCGGATGTGTCGCCTTGTGAACAATATAGTTTAAGAGAAATGGCCAGGACAAAAATGAAATTTGAAAATCAACAAAGGGCAATAACTCAAAAAATAAGAAATGCAGATCAGCAATTTCTGTGCACTGCACTTCTTATCAATAAGATCTATCATCCTATTAAGTTCAAAGTCTAAAGCTTTTATAATTAATAAGAAATGGCCTGGACAAAAATTAAGTATGAAAATTAACAAAGGGCAATAACTCAAAAAATAAGAAATGCACAGTACCAGTTCTTGGGCACTGCAATTTTTCTTAATGAGATCTATCATCCTTTAAAGTTTTATGTCCATATCTTTTATAATTTATGACAAATGGCCTGGACAAAAATAAAACTTAAAAATTAACAAAGGGCAATAACTCAAAAAATAAGAAATGCAGAGTACCAGTTCTTGTGCACTGCACTTCTTCCTAATGAGATCTATCATCCTATGAAGTTTCAAGTCCATAGCTTTTATACTTTAGGAGAAATTGCCTCGACAAAAATAAAGTATGAAAATTAACAAAGGGCAATAACTCAAAAAATAAGAAAATTCAGAGTACCAGTTCTTGTGCACTGCACTTTGGGTTATTATAAGAAGCATGCATACCAAGTTTGAAGTCAATCCGACTTTTAATGACTGACTTATGCTCCGGACAAGCTTTAGGGGACGCCGACAACGACGCCGACGACGACAACGACGCCGACACCGCCGACAAAAGTAACCCCCTATATGTCGCCTTTTTCAAGGCGACACAAAAAAGGAAACATTTACTTTTTTCTTTGATTTTGTATTAATATATTTGTTTGAATTAATTCTTCGTTTGCTTTTAGAAAAAAAGTAAAATAAGTCGACCATGGTCCGAAACACACATACATTGTTAAATTGAGGGATTGGTAGAATACATGACATAACTGTTTACTTAAATTTTGAAAGGCAATTTGTTGTGAATACATTGCAAGTCCCAGTTGGCAAAGTCAAGTCACATGGTCAAATACACAGGGTCAATGTTAAGCATTGTCATGATTATAGGTGTTTATAACAATTCCGGTATATTTGTTTCGAATATGCTCGAATCCGTTGTCTAGTTAGAGTATAAACAATCCACATTAATTAATGCTACTGATAAATACAGTGACATAGCTTAACATATAGTCACTGGGAACCAGTGTGAGGGTGGTGGGCCAGAATACAGAATAGAATAATTAAGCATGACTTTAAGAGGATCTGTGTTTCCCTCAATTAAGGTGTGGAATGCCTAATGCAGTTTCTCCTTTCAGAAAAGTATTCATTTTCATTTAGAAGACAGACTTCCGATATGGCTTTGGGGCTCAAATCCCAGTAGATGCAATGTTTTTTTTTATCAAATTTTCTTTTTTCTTCTTTTTATTTTGTTAAATTATTATTTTTTTCTTTATTTATATATAAAATTTGTAATTAAAAAAATTGAAGTTTTATGTTTAATTTTTACTGTGAAATGTGTGAAATCGGATAGCATAACGCATTAAAATGATGATAATTTTAAATCAGCATTATATTTTGCAAAATTTTAAGAATAGTTTCCCGATAATTGTTATTAAAATATATTTTGATCCCTCGATTAAATTTGACAAAATCTAACGGGTTTTCTCAGACCATCCTCTGCTTATTTGATGTCAAATGACAGGCACCTGTCTCAATAAACAAAAGATATCTTTTCATATACATTTTATATTGATTTATTTAAAGTATTTAAAGTTATTAAAAACTATAGTTCTTTATTATCACTTTTCAAGAATGAAATAAGTGAAACCTTTCTACAGATAATAAAAACACAATTGTTTTTGTTATATAAAACCGATACAAAAATTGAACATTAATTCTCAATATTTTTCAAACAAAAAGGTAAATTGTTTTCTTTCCTCTTTTTTTTTTGGGGGGGGGGGGGTAAAATTTAATAATATAAAGTTTTAAACGCATTTTAAAGAATGTGTCAATGATACGTCTAATACCTCAAATGTTTTTTTTTTGTGTGAGACCTGAAATTAAAATAAACTATTTGGTTTTGACAATTTATAATCTTGCTAGGCCCACTTTAGCGTTATTCAGGCGCAGGTTAACATCTGAAACGGACAGTGTTATGAACCATCAATACTTTTAAATCAGCTTTGATAGCTGCTTCTCATATTTTCTAATTATTTATTCAGCTTATAATTTCCAATTCTCAGCAGAAAGGGGACTGGGGTTGGATCTTAATCATAAGTCAAGGAACACATTCATGTATCTGTTGCTGAGATAAGGAAAAATGTGTGTTCATATAGTCATGTTTTCCGGAGACATCTTTTTCTTAAAAAAATAGAAGTGACGAAATTTGTCTTGCATTATATACTCTTAACAATTTTTATAAGTGAGCATGTATAAATATTGTATAATGTGAGTCAATATCTATCTATCTATCTCTGGATACTGCCAACCCCTCTTACGAGTGTTAAAGGCAGGAATTTAGTGCACGTCGGATTGTTAGTAAAAGGTGAAAAGAAAAGCTAAAAAAGAAAAGTCCAAACATTGACATGCTTGGAAGGCGAGACTAAAAATGTATTCTAGTCATGGTTAAAATGTTAATAGTGAAACAAGATGATAAGAGATAAAGTAGTTTAAAAACACTTGGAGTAAGACTGTTACTGCAAACCCACGACTGCCTGTTTGAACTGACTTAGGTTGGGCAGGGTGGCAATGTTACTAGAAAGTTTATTATATAGTATAATGATATGAGGGAAGAAAGAGTACTTATAGTATTGACCATTTCATGCTCGAATTTTCAATATACACAGTTTAGAGATTGTCATGATATTCCATTTATTAAAATTCATAACAAACACAAATTTAACACATGTACGCAATAAATGTGATTGTGCGTAAAAGGTAAATGTCGCAAAATGATTACATTTGGATCTCTAATCAAAATAAACGTACGTTTATGTTGACTTTGATAACAACATGGTACTTTGATTTGTCGTTGTACATTAAATTATTTGGGTGGATTTTAGTCTTCAGAAATATTGGCAAGATACGGGGTGATGGTCCGTTGCATTCGACAAGGAAGTTCAGGAAGACTGTTGACGTTATCTATGTTATATTTAACTGCAATCTCATTTCCGATCATAACCAATGAGATGAGCTTCAAATTTTATCAATGTCTAAATAACAACATAGGATTGCAGTTTCTACAGGATGTCTTACCAGCACACGTCCAGAACACTAACAATCTTTTGAAGATGTATAAACAACATTTAATTTAACTTAATGGAATATCACCTTATCTCTTGACTTTAATGTGATAGAAGCTATAAGGCTATACGAAATCGTGATAGAAGCTTTACGGGAAAAAAATAACCGCCTTATGTGCAAAGAAGTTTGGTACAGTTCCACAAGCCATCGCTTACTGATATGCGAAAAATGTTAATTTAAATGAAACATCTATTTTTCGACAGTAGCATGAAACGCACTGACACATTTATTGGGCATATTTATCAAATTTGTGTTCCTTATGATATTTAATAAATGGTAATATCATATCACCTTATATATGACCGGTATGTTCCTATTCTATAATCACAGGCTAGAAAGATTGGTAGAGATGTTCGGCACTCATCTAAGTTGGAAGTGGAGGATAAAGATCTAAAGCAATATTTCATTGACCTTCATAACCTTCTATCAGATACTGGACACTTGAAAACCAATAAATATGCAAAGTCAGCACGGGAAAAATTATCTGAGGTTTGTAATACTTACTTAGTAACATAGATCAATTTGAAACTACTATCAGTACAAAGCGTATCTAGTTTTGTACATTTTCGTGAATGTATCACTTTTTTTACATTTTATTTATGATAAAATACACGCACAAGCACTTTGTGATTGAAAGTTGATTTATATTAGGAAAGTCTGATAATAACTGGCAAAATAGTAATGTTACTTTAACCGGCATATGCAAATAAACATGCCCGTTAGATATGAAACATGAACAAAATGTTAACATCTGACCTAAGTTTAGAAAAGCTAAAGGTCACGTTACAATTATGATTCATATATTTATAATTAAATAGTTTTTAAAACTTTGTCATGATAAATATGCTTTGTCATTGAAAGTAAATTTACTTCGAAAATGTTTGAAAGGAGTTACAGAAATTCTCAGCATTGTCATCAACAGTCTACATTTGAGAGTAAATTGTCTTAAAATGCTTAATCATGATAAATGCTACATGTGGATGAATTCTAACTGTCAAATAAGAATAATGTTGTTAATTAACTTCAGTTAAAGGATGATAAATTACTTATTGGTAAAGATGATGTGCGGAAAGTGCTTGATGATGTTGCAAAGGTAGCACATGACAAGATTAAGACACGAGAAGAAAACATAAAAAATGAGCTTATAGAAGCCACTCGGAAATCTTTAGCAACATTGGAAAGTAAAGAAAAAGTAACATTAGATGAACTTGATAATGCATTAAAATTTGCTATTTGTGTATTGGAGAATCAAACAAAAGTTTTTCTTAAAAGAATAAGCGCGGAAGCTGATAGAAAAGTGAAAAAAATTAAAAATGAATTTAAAAGTAGTGAAAGTTTGAAACATCAACAAATAAACACAAAAAAGAAGAAGAATATATAGCAACAAAAAAGAGTGAGTATAAACATTTATTTTACACCTTACAAAGGTAAATATACATGTATAACCAATTTGTCGTTACACTGTTTTAACAATATAAAATGTAAAACATAATTGGATCTGCTCTTTTTAGCCTCATCTTTACAAGTCAAAAATCAACTCAACAGTGCTTTCTATATAGCCTCGTTTTGTTTTTTGTTTTCAGTTTGCATGTCATAAACAAATCCATTTTGTACTCTAAGTTTAGAAAAGTCGTCTGTTTTACAATTAGAGACAATTATTGAAATTATGTGTTGTGGTGTTATCAGCTTCATTCACCTACCTTAATAAAGTCAATAAATAGGATGTGATGAATGCATTTATAAGTGAGCTGGTCGGATGGCCTGTCAGTTTTATGGTTTAATGCATGATATCTATTTAATGAAGCAGTAGATTGTTCTGTTATTTTAAACACATGCATCAAAATAAAAATTTGGTAAATTTTGAATTTTGCTGCAGATCATTATTTTTTGACATAGTAAGGCTATGAAACTCTAGTTTACATTTATTAAACAAACACACTAGATTTTGAGTGTTTCCTTTAATTAAATGGGTGTGTTTTTTCCAAAATCAGGGAGGGGAAATTCAATGGTTATTAAATGGTTAATTGCAATTCTAATTATTTACTGCAAAACATTAGTTGGATTCTACTACGGCACAAACAATATAAGTTTTATTTTACAGGTGTTTTCTTGTTCAAACTAATTCAGTTGTGTACTTAACAATGTACAATTAACTTATATTCTTTGTTTTATGTAACAGTTTAAGTTACTATATACAATGTACTTATAAAACAGATAATATTCATTTTTGTAATAAAATTAGCTTTTGTGCACAAAATTTACAAATAATCTTAACAAATCCTATAAGTATGCGTGTAAATATTGTCTCATATTTGTAACATTATAGTGGCCCGAATGAATATTGGCCCAATCATGCTGAACATTTTCAAAAAATATAGTTAAGAGATGACATGATATGTATATAACATATTTTATTTCATAAGAAACAAAAGATTTATACATATGTGCAATAAATATAATGTTGCTTGAAAAGTACGATGTTAGTGATAATTCTTCTACCACGTTTGCCTTGTCTAACTGTTAATCGCAGCCTCTTGAATAAATATGTACATTTTTGTTGTAAATTTGCTTTCTTTTAAGCAGTGTTGAACTTGGCAAATGTCAATGACACTGCAAATGTCAATGACACTGTACTTGTTCTTCTTATTAGTCTTCTACTACATTTAAGTCAGTTGACTTTTCTGGTATCCACATTGATATTGTTACAGGCAAAACGTGGTGTCGTTCTGAATTTGTTGGCTGGCGCGCCATCCTGAAGCAAGCATCCTTAAGCATATGTCTGTTTTAAAAATACTTCTGTTTGAAGCACTTGATGCAAAGCGGTGGTCAGATTATCGTTAATGAACACGAATTTACCGACACTAGTATATTATCATATACCAAATATATGCGGAAATTGTTAAGAAGTGGGCAAATCTTCCCAAAATTGGAACAATGTTTTGACACATCCAGAAAACAACGCTACCAGTCTATAATTGACATCGCGGTGTTTCATTAACTATCACCGACAACGTCATTTTGCAACATTGTATTGCACTATCGCATTTATTGAGCATATTCTGTGTTAAATATGTGTTTATTATAAAATTAATAATGGAATATTATTTCATATTTATCAACTATATCTTTGAAAATTTCAGCATGATGAGGCCAATATTGAGCCACATATGCGGCCATTTTTACATGGACACTTACAAGTCTAGTTCAAGAAATGAGCCTAAATGGCCTTCCAGATTTTTAGCACAAAAGTCTAAGAGGCGAGCATTTATGATTGCGTGATGTCTTTCGTCCGTCAACTGGTTACCTTCTTTAACCGTTGGTAGAGTTTGACCAAATGTTATCCGAATGGTCATTTAATGGTCTTGTTTAAATGATTGCAGCATATTTAAAGTATTTTTTTAAAAAAAAAACGAGACCAATAATTTTATTATTTGGCATATAGCATTGCTTTGTTGCGTTCGTTGAACGCCGCTCTACCTTTTTGATCTTGTTTACCATATTCGTTGATATAGTATAATCGTTGATATTGTAATAATATATTATAAACCCTTAAATTCGGTCAAAGAAGGCCCCACCCTTTCACTCATGTAGTTAAAAAAGAATTAAAAAGTTAAGAAATGTCTTCAAAAGTCTTTTTACAAAGACAAGAATATAATGTGCCCAAGGCTTAGCTCTATTTCATGTTACTTTGCCTCGTGGACCTCTACAAAAGTTATTTGAATCATGACCATAAAGATTTAATTAGCTCCTTCCTGTGATCACTTTATTTACATATACGTATGAACCATGTCTACAAACTTCTTCTACAGAACTATCATGTCAAGGTTGTAAATATATGGCATACACATATAGAATCACATAGAGGTCCTCTGCAAAAGAAATGTTAAAACATTCCCATTGGGGTAAATTTTGGTCCAGCCCCGGGATGGACTTATATAGGAAATCACAAAACAATTTTCTTGTGTGAAATTCACTGCCTACAACTTAGATATTTATTATGAAGTATAACATAGTGGGCCCCTTAAACTCACACCTCTGGTTTAAAAGATAACTTTCCTCGGGGCACTATTGGGAAATGACAGTAAAAAAACCTACTTTGACAAAGCTTTAAAAGTGTTGCGCGAATCATACTGTTCAAAATGACAATGATTCTTTTCAACTACATGTTATATGTGACTAAGAAAGAAACTGGGTGATAGGTTCATGAAATTTAAAACAAATTATTTCGAGCAATAATATTCACTTACAATTATCAACATATGCTTCTTTTTTCAATAATAATAAAAAAATAAATTAATAAATAATTTAATAAATGAATGAACAAACATTTCTTATTAAATATCATAAGATATATATTGTTTTACAGATTTGCAGTCTGATCTCATTGCATGCTACAGAAAAAGCTGCAGTACAATAAACATCTGTCCTGGTTTAGATGAAATTGATGCTTCTTTAAAAGATGTCTATATTCCGCCTTATCCATTATATTCAAAGGAAACAGACCCATTGGAAAAAGTGGCCAAACAATCGACAATAAAGAAGGAAACACATGAAGATATTCCTTATTATTTTAAAGATATGCTAAAGATGCCAGATGGAAAACCTGTCAATTCGCTACAAGAGGTTTTTTACAAACAATCAAAAGAGTGCATGAATATATATTTGACAGCAGAACCTGGACTTGGTAAAACATCCTTTGTGAAGTGGCTTTCATTAAACTGGTGTCATGCACGCGACCCTGTTAAAGAAGATGACAACTATTTTGACCATGAAGAGGTAAATCAATTAAAAAAATTTGATTTTGTTTTTGTTATTTTTCTCAGGAAAATAAATGATGAGAATATGAGTGTAGATTCTATGATAAGAAAAAAAATAATACCTGCTTTAGGCAGTCAAAACAAGTATACAGTTGATATGATAGAGAGAGTGATGTGTGAAGAAAGATGCCTGATTGTTTTAGATGGTCTTGATGAATGGAATGTATCTGGTATACCTGAAAGGCCAACCCGATCAAGTTGTACATACATTACAACTTCAAGGCCATGGAAATTTTGCTCAATTGCATTCAATTCGAAAGAAATTGATCAGATGGTATGTATTGAAAATGTACAACAATTATGCAAAAAAAGGCTCATTGTAAGCATAATGACAATGTTTGAAAAAAGAAAACATTTAAGAAAAGATATTTCAGACATCTCCAAAGCCTGTAAAGAATTTATTAAAGAACTGAAAGATAAAAAGGTTTCCTGTTTTTATGGGTCACCAGTCATTTTAACATACTTGGTGTATCTATGGAATATGGAAAAAAGTATTGGGAACTCGCAGTTTGAGATTTATAGTGATATGGTAGATGCTTTATTTAGCAGAGCTGAGGCTAAAGTTGATCTTAGTAAGTTTAAAAAGAAAAGATCTTCACAAATAAGTTACTTCCAAGAAACTCTTTGTGAGACATACTATGATCTGATGATAAGACTAGGGAAATTGGCATTTAATATGTTATTTTCTGATAGCAAACTGTCATCACTTGTGTTTGATGAAGAAGTTACTGAAAAATTCCTCACAGTTGAGGACAGCAATATTCCAGCTGATAAAATATTACATACCTATTTAAAGACAGGTTTGCTGTCCAAACAATCAGTGTATGTAAAATCAAAAAGAAAGAAATATACTTATTCATTTCAACATAAAACTGTGCAAGAATACTTCGCTGCATTGTATATTCAGGCAGAGTATGACATGTATGACACAAATCTCAAGGGTATGATAGTTACAAAATGTAATACGGCTTTGACTGTTCTAGAGATGGGAACTGTTTTCATGTTCCTGAGTGGAGTCAGTCCAAGTATATCAGGTAGGGTATTTGAATCATTACCAGTTAAAGATATACAAAAGTATAAAAATGAGTCTTTTACTGTTTACTATTTTGTAATTAGGATGATTCAGGATATGAAAGTAAACTGTGCTATAGAGTGTAGAAACAATGAAATATTTAATTCACATTTAGATGATGTCATCATTGATATGTCAATTTCAAAAGGTAAATACTGTGAAGTATTGAAAGCTCTTGTTCAACAGAATGCTTCGAACTTGAAATCTTTTATGTTTGTAAGCAAACGAGAAAGACTTGTTAAGTTAGGAAGAGATTTTGAAATACAAAAAATGTCAAGTCTTTTTACCTCAAATGTTTGTTTTGATCTATCTGAGAGAAGTGTTTTTTCATCAGAGATAGTAACTTTTATTTCTGAGTTAGATACAAAGCATCTTCAGTCATTGTATGTTTCATCTGAATTAGCTTTAACACATGGTTTGTTAGAGAAATTTCTTTTGTTTGTCAAGAAGCAAACTAGTTTGATGGAAATGTGCTTACAATTCAGTATAAATGATTTCATTTTACCAATGCATTTCTCTCCTCCAAAAAATGTACCTTTATCACAGCTACAGCTGAATAAACACTTACAGCAGCTAACACTAGAAAATGTACCTTTATCACAGCTACAGCTGAATGGACACTTACAAAAGCTCACACTGAATAATGTACCTGTATCACAGCTACAACTGAATGAAAACTTACAAAAGCTTACACTGAATAATGTACCTGTGTCACAGCTACAACTGAATGAAAACTTACAGAAGCTAACACTTACAATGGTTCCTTTAATACAGTTACAGCTGAATGAAAAATTAAAGAGGCTAAGACTATGGGATTTACCTATCTTATCGAAGGAACAGGAAGATATTATAAGGTT